CTTGTCATACTGCTCCCTTGTTACTGTTTTTGAGATTTTATTTATCTCCTTCCCTGCAGATAATTTTTCATACGACATTATTTCTGTAGTCTCCACTTCGGTCGCGATTTGTATTGCACTTTCCCATGTCAAGTCCTGCGTGTTAATTAATTTCATTAATATTTTTCCATTATTAATTCCTGACACTAATTTGTCCCGCAATACTGTATTATACATATCTTTAAATTCACACGTCTTTGCCTTTATCTTTAATTTATTAATATACTCTACGATGGTTTCATCTTTTTCTTGTTCCATTTTAAAAAAATAATATCTTTCTAATAGGAAGTTTGTCTTCTTCATATAATAATTTTTTAAAAGTTTAATTATGTCATCATATGATATTTCCTCTAATGTCTTTGGCAAACACAAATTAAATAATTTAGAATAAACCTCTAATCCAATATTCGCTAATAAAAATGATTTTTTGTCTTCTATTTTTGCGATTTTAAATATGAATTCCATCTTTGATAAATAAACTTCCATATTGCACTCCTTCATATTATAATTCTCCATTTGAAACGACTGCGCCATTATAGTGATACCAAATTTTATTATAATTTTAACTATTTTTTATATTTTGTACCGTAGTATATATATCTTTAACAAAACAAACGATTAATAATAAATATATTTAAAATTCATCATATATTTAATTGCCTTTGAGGCTATTGTTTCTATTACACATTTGATTGATAGTTTTAAGAGACCTATAATTTTTTTCACAAGATTTAAACTTGAATTGGAAAAAAATTTGTAATTTATACCAATTACAAGCCATTTGTCTCAAATACTTCAACATTGGTTGTTACTTATGAGAAGTTTTAAAATTTAGATATAGTAAAGGAAAAGAGAACCACTCAGATATTTTGTCTAAGTTGGGTTCAGGGAGTGCAAAACGTGAATAACTTACTTTAAGTATAGGGAAGAGATATTAATTTGTATTCTGTCTTATACATTAAATGTGAGTGTGGAAAAAAGAATTTTTTAAAAAAAAAAGTATAGATGAAGCCACAATTTAATGATAAAATCAAGGTATCTAATAATTACCAGATTATCTTGTGCCACCTCTGAAACGGCATTTTCATAAGTATGTTATAATGGATCAACATTGTTCACTAGATGCTATCCTAGCTTGCTTAGGTCTAAAACGTGGATGCACATATAGGATAATTCTTATAAGGGTCATTCCATGTGAAATGAGCAAAAAAATCAAGATTTTCGGCCGACCCCTTTCAATTTCGATAAAAAGTTGTAGAGTGGTTATATATGTTCCCATTAGATTATAAAGAAAATTTTAGCGCATTAGCAACTATATTAGCGGAGATAATCGGGGTTAAAGGTCCAAAAAACGCCTTTTTTTGCTTTTTACTGATGTTAAATAATTAGTTTTTAATTTAAAACTAAATATGATCAAATATTGAATCTAATATCAATAAGTTAATAATTGATAATTATGGCAAAAACATCAAAATTAATATTTCGAAATGAATATGATCTCCAATTTTTAATTTTTTTAAGAAATGTTATCCTTTTACTATTTTTTTAATAATTTCTTCAACAATCATGGCTGGATATTTATTTAAAAAAATATCGCTATTTTTATACTTTAAAAAAAATAGATGGCGCTATATATAATAGTTTTAATATGTTAAAATTCATTTTTTTATCGATTAAAAATATTTTAATGTATAATATATCATAAAATTCGATTATATAATTTTGTAAACCTTATTCCCCTGAGATATTCGCAGGATAAAAAATTTTTTTAATATTTCAATATAAATTAAAAATAATTATAAAATGGGACTAGCACACGAACAAAAAAAGCAGGATTAAAGGATTGCTGGAAAATTATTAAGGGAAAAATCGAAAATCACATTAATTACCAGGCCTACCCCCAACCCTCCACCCCCCTTCCCCAGACAAAGTCATACCCATCAAGACCAAGAATGTTATGAAATTCTCATTATCTTACATTATTAAAATAACCAGTGATAAAGAAAATTTCAAAGATTTTGAAAATTTTTTTAAGCAATACAAATACAAAATTATAGTTCTGATAAAAGCCGACTCATGACTGGAATAAAAGGTTGTGTATCTGTTAAAGGCGAGAAAGAATCAGTCCAAAGACTTATATTAAATAATCTTAAAGAAATATTCAAGATGTTTAAGGAAGAATACCCAAATATATCAATTAGATTCTCTAAATTTGCCGAACTTAGACCAAAAAACTGTATATTAGTTGGAGCTAGTGGCACACACACTGTTTGTGTGCGCCATTCATCAGAATGTGAAATTAATGACAAATGTAATAGCTGAAATTACAGCAGGAGAAGATAACTGTATAAATTCTTATAACTATCTTTTGGCGCAAATTATTTGTAATCCATCTCAGCCAAAATGTTATTTAACAAATTGTGATCAATGCCCTGGTATAGAATCTTTTAAGGGCCAATTATACCTGTTGTTTCAGAGAAATCGTATAGAATATGTCACGTTTAAACAATGGATCACTGTGGATAGAGCAAATCTTGAAACTATTATAAAGTCCATTGATGATTTCATCGAATATCTATTAGAAAAAGTTCAAATTTTACTGCGTCACTCATTTATAGATAAACACAAAGTTTATTTTTGAAGAATTCCAAAGAAAATTTAAAAGATGGGGAATTTTTAACAATTCTAGATTATTAAGAGAATTATTCCTTCAATTTACTAGATGAAGTTTAGGGATTTCATTGGAACAACGGGCAGGCCACTATACATCCATTTGTAGCATATTATAAATCTTGAGAAGAATTAAAAAATATAAATTTTGTTATTTTGTCCGAATCATTAAGCCAATACTAGTGCAGTCCACCTTTACCAAAAAAAATTTATTAAATTCTTAACAGCCAAATTTAATTCTAAACCAGAAAAAATAATATATTTTTCAGATGAAGCCGCGTCTCAATACAAGAATTGCAAAAATTTTCTGAACATATGCCTTCATAAATACGATTTTAATATTCCTGCCGAATGGCATTTCTTTGCCACTGCTCATGGCAAAATGCATGTGACGGTATCGGAGGAACTGTCAAAAGATTAGTTGCAAGAGCTAGTCTTCAAAGGCCAAATAAAAATCAAATCCTAACCCCATTAGAATTATATATTTATGCTAAAGAAAATATTAATGGAATTCAATTTGAATATGTATCTAATCAAGAATATATCGAAGAGGAATTAGCCCTTCGTAAAAGATTTGATTCTGCACTGCCCATTCATGGTACCCAAAATATTCACGGGGTTATTTCATTGATCAAAATAGACTAAAAACCAAAATATATTCTAATTCCAAAAAATATAATATAAAACAAGTTTCGTTTTTAAATGAAAAAATTATATTTTAAAATATTAATGGATATATAACATGTGTATATGAAGATAAATGGTGGTTAGGATATATAATCGATAAAAATGATACAAATGAAGAAGTAAAAATTTTACACCCTTGTGGACCTTCAGCCTCTTTTAAATTTCATCTGAAAGATGATATTTTAGTGTTGCCTAAATCACATATTCTCTCGCAGGTCAATCCTTCTACGACCACTAGTCGAACATATATATTATCGCCTGAAGAAATCTCACAAGCTAGCCAGGCTTTGTATTCCTTTAGATTAAGTAAGATTTAATTAATTTATAAACTATCTTAATTAGGCAAAATTTGTGAAGATTTTAAAAATTTATAATCTGAATTACAAATAAATATATATAATGCACATTGTAATCGATTTAGTATGATATATATACATTAAAATATTTTTAATCAATAAAAAAAATGAATTTTAACATATTAAAACTATTATATATAGCGCCATCTATTTTTTTAAAGTATAAAAATCGCAATATATTTTTAAATAAATTTTCAGCCATGCCAATTGTTGAAGAAATTATTAAAAAAATAGTAAACGGATAATATTTCTTAAAAAAATTAAAAATCAGAGATCATATACATTTCTAAATATTAATTTCAAGTTTTCAACTGACCATAAGATGACCCATATTTTATCAAAAATTAATTTTGATGTTTTCACCATAATCATCAATTATTACCTTAGCTATTGATATTAGATTCAATATTTGATCATATTTAGTTTTAAATTAAAAACTAATTATTTAACATCAGTAAAAAGCAAAAAAAGACGTTTTTTGGACCTTTAACCCCGAATATCTCCACTAATATAGTTGCTAATGCGCTAAAATTTTGTTTATAATCTAATGGGAACATATATAACCAGCCTACGATTTTTTATCAATATCGAAAGGGGTCGGCCGAAAAGTGATTGATTTGACATGGAATGACCCATAACTTTTTTATTTGGATACAAAAAATTTATGATTAAATCAAAATTTTTTATCATGCCACTTAATAAATTCCTAGATTAAAATATTTGAGTTGGTTCTCAGCTATGTTCTTATTTCTAGTTTTAATTTTTAACAATTTAAATCAATATAAGAAATTTTTATTTTATTGCATATATTTAGATGACTACTTTTAATCTCCCCCAAATTTTTAGAAAAACCAGTGAGGTCTTAATTTTATGCTGTACCAAGATAACTTGCTTCTACGATTCACAACATAATTTTGGTGATTATAAAATTGTGACTTAAAAAATAAAACTTTTCCTTTTATAATGTATAAGACTAATTCAAGCTGTAGCCAATTTATATTTTACTGTAGCTATGCCCATCTTAAAATGCTTTCATAATAATCTCTGGAAAAAAAAAATATATTTTTAGACTTTGCCTGACAATAAGTATATTGCATGTGTAGATTTATTATATCAATTACTTCTTTTATAATGCAATGAATTATTATTTACTAGTTGGTTAGTGTTTAAATATTTTTAATGAATACAAAATTTGATTACTTTAAAATTGTTAACTAAAAAATCTCTTATAATTAAATAAAATGTAGCCATATAAAATTTAAAAATGTTACTTATTGATGACAAAACAAAATATTGATCAGATTCTGAGCTGATTTAACAATAATTTATTGATGTAAAAATAACAACAGATATAATTTTATAAAATAAACCAAATAAGATTATTAACGATTAGATTTAGCAACTCTTTCTAATTCATCTTTTTTCTTAATAGCATACGAATTTGATGATCCCTATAAATATTTAATAAAAAATCTATAAATAAAATATTACTTTGGCAGCATTTATAAGTTCATCGGCTAAGCACTCTGCAATTGTTTTAATATTACGAAAAGCTGACTCTCTAGAACCTGTCACTATCAGGTAAATTGCTAAATTAACACGTCTCAAAGGTGAAACATCTACAGCTTGTCGTCTAACAGTTCCAGCTCTACCTATTCTAGTGGAATCTTCTCGAGGTCCACTATTGATTATTGCATCAACTAATATTTGGATTGGATTCTATAAATAGTTTTTTTCAATGCACTAATAGTGTTTAATTACTTGACCCGTCAATAAGAAAACAATTTCAAATGTATGTTCCACAATTCTGACTGCCATTAATTTTTTACCATTATTTCTCCCATGCATCATTAACGAGTTAACAAGACGCTCAACTATATGGCACTGAGCTTTTCTAAATTTTTTAGCAGCATATCTTCCACTTGTATGTGGTAAATATTTGGCATGCTTATCTTTAATAGCAATATAATCCTAAAAACAAAAAAAATTTAAATTGTATTATTTATAAACTAACAACAAGTCCTAAATCAGATACTTGTACATCATATGGATTCCATTTACCAAACAACTTTATTTCTGGAAGTTCTGTTGTAGGAAGAGGGTTCACTTGAACAATTTCTTCTGCCCATTCATCAGACATATTTCAGATGCACTCGAAGGAAATGATAGGTAGTAATGAAATTTGTTTATTTGAATTAAAAAATATTTATTTTAAAAAATAATTGTTTGTTCAAATTAGTATAACATAAAATAAATATTATAATTAGAAATGTTAAAGAATGTTGTATATAATTTTACACCTAAATAAAATGTTCAGAGTAATAGATATTTACGTTTTTTTCTTGATAAAAAATTTAATTTTACATGATTCTTAAATTTTAGCGTAATTAATGTTGTTATGATTACAATAATATTAATATTTTTCATCATAAATTATGTCAATATTGATTATTTCCTCAAGAGTGGTGTTCTCTAACGCGAATTCTGTTTTCATATTATGACTCTCAATCAGACAAGGCTCTGATAACTTAGGCAGGGACGTCGCTAGCCTTTACCATCTCAGGGGGCTCAGCTAAAAAAAAAATTATGGAGGGCTTCGCCCCCATACCCCCCAATTTGGTGGCCTTTGACCCTTTTTTGCATTCAATTTTTTTGAGGTGGGTAGACATTATTATGGGGTGGGGGGGAGGGTAAATTTATTGGGGGCTTATCTATTAAATTTTTAAATAAAATAGAGCAAAATATATTGTTGTATTAATATATTTATTATACTCTTATAATAATAGAATAATATTGCTAAACATATATCAAATCAATATATTGCACACAATCATAGACATTATTTTCAAATAAATCTTTCTTCTTTAAAAGGGTTGTACATTCTCAGCAAACTCATATTCATGCCAAAAAACTATAATAATGAATTCATAGTAAATGAGGGGATTTTTAAATAGAATCCATATTTTAAAAATTAACTCATTTAAATTCACAATATTTTGATAGTTAGTAGTTATGCTAAAATAATTTAAGTTATTCTTGTTTAAATCTATGAAAGAAGTACCATTATAATTAAAAATATATAATTACGTGGAAATATCGCCATCAAGGGTGACAAAAAATTTTTAAAGGGGTGGGCAGAAGTTTTTTAAGTGAGGGGGATTTGCTTCCAATAAAAATTCTGACACGTAGACCCTGATCATAGGCGTAGCCAGAAGGGGGAGGCAAGGGGAAATTCTCCTTCCCTTCAGAAATTTATCACTTTTTGTGAATATAATAAAAAATAACCCCCATAGTCCTCCCCCCCCCCACTAACAATAATTTTAAAGAAAGAATGTTAAAATTGATATTATTTTATAAAACTATTCATCATAATTTATACATTTTTGGATAAAAGCATTTATATATCAAAAAATGAACCAAAAATGCTTTTTAAGAAATGGAATATAAGCCAAAGAGTAGTCTTAAGACAAAAGTGAATGTATTATAATTATTAATAATATATCCATAAAATTACTAAATAATATAAATTATCAAATATAATTTTTTATAAAGTGAGTATTTTTTTTTTTAATTTATAATCTATATTATAATTTTCCGATGTCCTCACTATACATCGTGACGTTATCTCATCGCTACGTCATGTCATCGGTACGTATTTATTTTTATTTTTTTTATTTGTTGATTTTATTTATTTATTTTATACAAACAAATGATCCTGCCAATTTTTCGACATTATTACTTTTAGCAATTTAGAACTATAAAAAATACTGCTTGGACGATGGTTCAACAAGTTAATTATTTTCCTTGAATTTATTTTTAAATATATTATATTTTTTATTATTTTTAGCGATTATTACTTTTAGCGATTATTACTTTTAGCGATTATTACTTTTAGCGATTATTACTTTTAGCGATTATTACTTTTAGCGATTTAGAACTATAAATAATACTGCTTGGACGGTTCAACAAGTTCATCATTTTAATTGAATTCCTGAAATCGGCCAGTTATTTAAAAAAATTCTCTAAATAAGGGCACTCTAAAACACACTTAATCAAAGTTTCCTTTTCACAGATTTCATAAGTTAAATATTAGAAGAAGAGATTATTAAATTAAGCTAAATTCTTTTAAAAAAAAGAAAAGATATATACTCTTTTAATACTTACATATCACTTACACTTTTCACTCCATACTCTTCATTTTCAGGCATCTAATCCTTATAATTGCCTTATTTACTTATATCTGTTTGTTTTCTGAAGTTTAAATATTTAAATAAGAATATTAAATTAAGTTAATTATACTAATTATTTTATCTACTTTATAAATTAAGAATAAGAATCTTTAATTAAGTTAAAGCGTTGTGTAAATTTAATCAAGAAAGTGTTAATTAAAAAAATAGGAAATTTGAATGCAGGTTGATCTTATGTGGTTCAAAAACATTATTACCAATGTAAACTGGGTTACTCTTTAACACTTACTTTCACTGCATCACTAAATATCACAAAATTTCAAGAAACTACTTCATATAAATTGTCTTATTCAATCACATTTCCCTGTTTTGAAAATTTTAAATATTATAAGTCTATTAAATTAAGTTAAATTAAACTGAATTTCTCTTCACATATAAGGGCAGACATTATTTTGTCATGATTCTCTTTATATGGGTTGGACTGGGCTTAAAAAATATTTCTCAAAATTAAACCTATATTGGAATTTTTTAATGTTAAATGGTAGTCTTATGTTATTATTTTTATAAAGTAATATATTTTACCCGTAGACTAATTGGTAAATCAGATATTTCCCCTTCATTAATTATAAATTTAATATCTCTGGGCTTGGTTTCAAAATTATTAGGGATTGAGGTGGGCTTGAGAAAATCTTTTTAAATATTAAGATCTTGGATGCTTGGATATTTTTCCCAGTTATTGTAGGCTTGAACCTATATTGGGATTTTTTAATGTTAAATGTTAGTCTTATGTTAATATTTTTATAAAGATATATATTTTAACTCAAAGAATAGTTTTCAGTAACATACAAAATGTATACTGATTATGCTATGCTTACAACATATGTATCCCTACTAAAGATATCACTAACATTCATTATTTTAACAACAGTCTCAAATAATATGGTAAAAATCAAAATTTAAAAAATACTAAAATTCTCTTTTCCTTTCTTTCCCTTTTAATTTCTTTTATTATCTTCCCCTTTCTCAAAATTTCCCTTTCCTATCTTCACTTTTTAATTTTCTTTTTCTTTATCTTTACCTTCCTTTCCCTTTTAATTTCCCTATTTTCTTTCCATTAAAATTTCTCTTATTTCCCTACCTCAGAATACACACTCCAGCCGAAAGCTGGGTTAATCAAAAAATAAATATCATTCAATTCTTAATTCAACTCATATTCAAGCAAAAAAATTATACTGGGTCATATGATGTGAAGCCCAATAAAATATACAAAGTTATTCATCTATATATACTAAAAATGCTTATACTTGATTGTACAAGTGGTATATTGACTCCTCATCAGGTTCAATGTATTTATTTTTTAAAATTATTCTTTTGTTTATATTTTAGATAACAAGCCCTGTCTTAACCTCACTTAATGATTGTACAGGTGGTGATTTATTCGTCATTAATAAAATAAAAAGATGGCAGGTCAATTAAAAAATGAAACGCGCTAGGGACAGGGTTGCCATGTCTCCCCCCATCAGCGGGAGACTCACCCAATTTTTTAGTTTACACGCAGACATCTCTCTCTCACAAAACTACCGCAATTGAAAATCTCCCGCAAAAATCTACCGCAATTTTTTAATTTCTCCTGCAATTTTTTTAAAAATGTATATAACATTTTTAATATATAAATAATAATTTTGAGAGACAGTAATTGATTATTTTTATATTTTAAAATAAATTTTAAATATTTATTCGAAAAATATGTCTAGTTTGTAAATTTCTTTCTATCCTGTTTTATTTTTATCCAATAATAAATCAACATCATTTCATTCATATAAGTCAGTACAGGGGAGTATATCAACATCGATTGCATTACAAAAATATTCTCCAAAAATAATAAATAATACAGATGCAACTACAGCTGCGGAAATCGTATACACCTATCATGTAGTTCAACATTCACAGAGCTATATCATCACAATGTGGGTCGAATCTTTTTCCCATGATATTTAACGACTCCAATATAAGTGCAAACCTTACTTGTGGTAGAACAAGAGCAAGGCTATCACAAACAGATGCATCTAAAAAGGAAAATATTAAAATATTTCCCTTGATCTTTCGCTATTTCAACAAGAATAAAAACATTTCAATAAAACTGTTAAAATTGTTTTCTTCGGATAGTGAAAATCTAACGATGAAACTAACCACATAATGGTAAATATAGCTGATTCAGGGTTATCAATAATTTGCATGTCAGCTGCGCTGATAATGCCTCTGTAAATTTTGGCAAAAACCAAAGTGTATTTACCAAATTGAGGCAGCACAATAATGACTTATTAATACCAATTGGCTGTATATGCCATATACTACATAATTCTTGCAAGAAGGCAATGAATGTACTATCTGTGGATGTCGAAATAATTGTGATGAAATGTTTTAACAAATTTAGTTCATCAATTAAAGAGTTAATGAATTAAAAGTGTTGGTGGAGTGGTCTGACTTGGGATGGTGTGAGTTGTTGCGATACTTTTCTATCAGGTGGTTGTCATTAGTACCTGCCATTGATTTAATTTTAAAATTTTACAAACCCTTAAAAAAATACTTATTAAATAAAGATTTTAAAAGCTCTCCTAAAATTTTAAAAAATTTTTACGAGTATGAAATGGCAGAAGCATATTTAGGATTAGTTTCACATTTTGGAAATCTACTTCATGCAGTTAATATTTAGTTGCAATCAGAATATTCTTTATTAATAAAGATTCACAAAATCATTCTACAGCTCTGTTCATCTCTACAGTTAAAAATTGATAATAAATTTTATGGCGCTATTGCTAAAAATATTATATTAAAATGAATAATACTCTAATTAATACATTTTTAAATGAAGCAGATATTTTTATTAAGACAATTTTAGAATATTTACAATCAAAATTTGATTTTAATAACACATATATAAATATTATGACCTTGGATCATTTGTAATTTAATAAATAATTAAAAATACCGA